AGGGGGTGACACTCTAGATCCAAACTGTTACAGACCTATATCCATCCTGCCCTGCCTTTCGAAAGTATTTGAAAGCCAAGTTAACAAACAGATCACCGACCATTTCGAATCCCACCGTACCTTCTCCGCTATGCAATCCGGTTTCCGAGCTGGTCATGGGTGCACTTCAGCAACGCTCAAGGTCCTAAACGATATTATAACCGCGATCGATAATAGACAGTACTGTGCAGCCGTCTTCATCGACCTGGCCAAGGCTTTCGACTCTGTCAACCACCGCATTCTTATTGGCAGACTAAATAGCCTTGGTTTCTCAAATGACTGCCTCGCCTGGTTCACCAACTACTTCTCAGATAGAGTTCAATGTGTCAAATCGGAGGGCCTGTTGTCTGGACCTATGGCAGTCTCTATGGGGGTGCCACAGGGTTCAATTCTTGGGCCGACTCTTATCAATGATGTCGCTCTTGCTGCTGGTGACTCTCAGATCCACCTCTACGCAGACGACACCATTTTGTATACATCTGGCCCTTCATTGGACACTGTGTTAACAAACCTCCAAACGAGCTTCAATGCCATACAACACTCCTTCAGTAGCCTCCAACGGCTCTTAAACACTAGTAAAACTAAATGCATGCTCTTCAATCGAACGCTGCTGGCACCCGCCCACCCAACTAGAATCACTACTCTCGATGGGTCTGACCTAGAGTATGTGGACAACTACAAATACCTAGGTGTCTGGTTAGACTGTAAATTCTCCTTCCAGACTCACATTAAGAATCTCCAATCCAAAGTTAAATCTAGAATCGGCTTCCTATTTCGCAACAAAGCCTCCTTCACTCATGCTGCCAAACATGCCCTCGTAAAACTCATTATCCTACCGATCCTTGACTTCGGCGATGTCATTTACAAAATAGCCTCCAACACTCTACTCAGCAAATTGGATGTAGTCTATCACAGTGCCATCCGTTTTGTCTCCAAAGCCCCATACACTACCCACCACTGTGACCTGTACGCTCTTGTTGGCTGGTCCTCACTACATGTTCGTTGTCAAACCCACTGGCTCCAGGCCATCTATAAATCACTGCTAGGCAAATCCCTGCCTTATCTTAGCTCATTGGTCACCATAGCAGCACCCACCCGTAGTCTGCGCTCCAGCAGGTATATCTCACTGGTCATCCCCAAAGCCAACACCTCCTTTGGCCGCCATTCCTTCCAGTTCTCTGCTGCCAATGACTGGAACGAATTGCAAAAATCTCTGAAGCTGGAGACTCTTATCTCCCTCACTAACTTTAAGCATCAGTTGTCAGAGCACCTTACCGATCAATGCACCTGTACACAGCCCATCTGAAATTAGCCCACCCAACTACCTCATCCCTATATTGTTTTTTATTTTGCTCTTTTGCACCCCAGTATCTCTATTTGCACATCATCTCTTGCACATCTAGTGTTAATACTAATTGTAATTATTTTGCACTATGGCCTATTTATTGCCTTACCTCCATAACTTGCTACATTTGCACACACTGTATATATATTTTCTGATCCTTTTTTACCCCATATGTAACTCTGTGTTGTTGTTTTTATCGCACTGCTTTGCTTTATCTTGGCCAGGTCGCAGTTGTAAATGAGAACTTGTTCTCAACTGGCTTACCTGGTTAAATAAAGGTGAAATAAAATAAAATAAAAAAGGATAAGAGCAGAGGAGAGAGAGTTAGCTTTAGCAGTGCGGAGAGCCTCCGTGACACAGAGAAGAGAAGTCTCAGTTGAATGACCAGTCTTGAAACCTGACTGGTTTGGATCAAGAAGGTCATTCTGAGAGAGATAGCAGGAGAGTTGGCTAGAGACGGCACGCTCAAGAGTTTTGGAGAGAAAAGAAAGAAGGGATACTGGTCTGTAGTTGTTGACATCGGAGGGATCGAGTGTAGGTTTTTTGAGGAGGGGTGCAACTCTTGCTCTCTTGAAGATGGAAAGGACATGGCCAGCGGTCAAGGATGAGTTGATGAGCGAGGTGAGTTAAGGGAGAAGGTCTCCGGAAATGGTCTGGAGAAGAGAGGAGGGGATAGGGTCAAGCGGGCAGGTTGTTGGGCGGCCGGCCATCACAAGTCGCAAGAATTCATCTGGAGAGAGAGGGGAGCAAGAAGTCAAACCATAGGGTAGGGCAGTGTGAGCAGGACCAGCGGTGTCATTTGACTTAATAAATGAGGATCGGATGTCGTCAACCTTCTTTTCAAAATGGTTGACGAAGTCATCCACAGAGAGGGAGGAGGAAGGGGGAGGAGGAGGAGGATTCAGCAGGGAGGAGAAGGTGGCAAAGAGCTTCCTAGGGTTAGAGGCAGAGGCTTGAAATTTTGAGTGGTAGAAAGTGGCTTTAGCAGCGGAAACAGAGGAAGAGAATGTAGAGAGGAGGGAGTGAAAAGATGACAGGTCCGTAGGGAGTCTAGTTTTCCTCCATTTCCGCTCGGCTGCCCGGAGCCCTCTTCTGTGAGCTCGCAATGAGTCGTCAAGCCACAGAGCAGGAGGGGAGGACCGAGCCGGCCGGGAGGATAGGGGACATAGAGAGTCAAAAGATGCAGAAAGGGAGGAGAGGAGGGTTGAGGAGGAAGAATCAGGAGATCGGAGGGAGAAGGATTTAGCAGAGGGAAGAGATGATAGGATGGAAGAGGAGAGAGTAGCGGGAGAGAGAGAGCGAAGGTTGCGACGGCACATTACCATCTGAGTAGGGGCAGAGTGAGTAGTGTTGGAGGAGAGCGAGAGAGAAAAGGATACAAAGTAGTGGTCGGAGACTTGGAGGGGAGTTGCAGTGAGATTAGTAGAAGAACAGCATCTAGTAAAGATGAGGTCAAGCATATTGCCTGCCTTGTGAGTAGGGGGGGACGGTGAGAGGGTGAGGTCAAAAGAGGAAAGGAGTGGAAAGAAGGAGGCAGAGAGAAATGAGTGAAAGGCAGACGTAGGGAGGTTAAAGTCACCCAGAACTGTGAGGGGTGAGCCATCCTCAGGAAAGGAACTTATCAAGGCGTCAAGCTCATTGATGAACTCTCCAAGGGAACCTGGAGGGCGATAAATGACAAGGATGTTAAGCTTGAATGGGCTAGTGACTGCGACAGCATGGAATTCAAATGAGGAGATAGACAGATGGGTCAGGGGAAAAAGAGAGAATGTCCACTTTGGAGAGATGAGGATTCCTGTGCCACCGCCGCGCTGACCAGATGCTCTCGGGGTATGCGAGAACACATGGTTAGATGAGGAAAGAGCAGTAGGAGTAGCAGTGTTTTCTGTGGTAATCCATGTTTCCGTCAGCGCCAAGAAGTCGAGGGACTGGAGGGTAGCATAGGCTGAGATGAACTCTGCCTTGTTGGCCGCAGAACGGCAGTTCCAGAGGCTGCCTGAGACCTGGAACTCCACGTGGGTCATGCGCGCAGGGACCACCAGATTAGAGTGGCAACAGCCACATGGTGTGAAGCGTTTGTATGGCCTGTGCAGAGAGGAGAGAACAGGGATAGACAGACACATAGTTGACAGGCTACAGAGAAAGGCTACAATAATGCAAAGGAGATCGGAATGAAATGAACTAAACATCTGGGAAAGCGAGAGAGCGGGGCCTCCCTCACTTACGTTTCACTGAAACACTCAAATATAACTCTCCCAACTTCCACTTTAGAAATTATAATTGTTGTAAACTACAGCGGTTCAATGTTTCTAGGAATAGACTCTAACTTAGTTTATTCAGCTAGCTAACTTGGTACACCGAATCATATGACGCCAAAGCCAACTAGCATGCCAGCCTCCAATAACACGGTTTAGCACCAATACTCGGTTACAACAAACCACCAGTGTGTTAACACGCCAAGCAGATCATTCGTGTCCGTGTCTAACGTTGTGTAAAGTTTTGGGGTAGTTTTTACAGTTTGAGTGAGTACGTCGTCAACTTATTCAGCCAGTTAGTTAGCTAGAATAGTTAGCATACTAGCTAGCTATTGCTCTCTGCCAATGAACTAACCCCTCCTCCCACGGCACGAACACACAGAGAGCCAAGCTAACGTTAGCTAGTCACCCATGTCCCGAATTCCCTTGAACGACGACTCTGGTTACCAGTATGTAAAAACAAAACAAAAATAAATGTAGGTTATAGCTTACCCTTAGTAGCTACTGTTAGCCAGTTAAGTGCAAAGCTAGCCACTGAATCAATTCAGCCAGTTCGCGTCTGTCCCAACGGAGAGAAAGCGTCTCCAAATATTAACGCTAGGTCGTTCCAGCTATTGTTTAGTTAGCTATCCAGGTAGCTACATTTCGAGTACAGTAGCTACAAACTACCTAACGTTAACGCTTCAGATAATGAGGTTAGAAAAACAGCTGAATGGTAGGTAGCTAGCTGGCATAATTACAGGTACTCTTAAGCGTGGAATAACATTGGAAACAACTATCCACAGTTGCTAATAGTTACCAGTATTGGTCCAGGTAGTGAGTTAGCTAGCCTCGTGCTTCACCGGGCTCAGCCGAATACAATACTTACCTACAATAATTACCTACAATAACCTACAATAACTACCTAGATAAACTACCTACAATACCTAACTACAATACCTAACTACAATACCTACCTACCTACAATCTAAATACATGGTTTAATCTTTACTCGACACCATATGAGCCAAGCTTACCTCCCGCCAGAGAGAGACACAACCTCACCCGTCGCTGTCCAGCGAGAGACACAACCTCACCCGTCGCTGTCTAAACATCAGTAAGCACTGTGAGGAGACAGAGTAACAATGGGAATCCTTGAGGTTGGACAGAATGAGACAATGAAATTCCCAATTTTCTGTTTAATGGTCTCATAATTCACATGCATCACCTTATTTACCACTTTATGATACAGGTTTGCCATTTGAGAACACCCATGAGTTGACCATTCAAATTGCTATGGTCAGAAGTTCCAACTCCGTTCTATTTGTTCTACTTCTATGGGATAAACAGTGTTCTCTCTACCTCTCTCCCTTCCTCCTCAGTGTTGTGTCATGTGTACGTGACCATGGACTCATATCTGAGTGTGAGGAGCCTGGCCAGTGTTGTGGCCCAGGGGCTGCTGCAGGAGGTGGCTGAGAGACTGGATGTCCCCCTGGAGGAGCTGGTCCTGCTGGCTGTCACCTACCCTGGAGGTATCTAATCTAACCCTAACCTAACCATACCTAAGACAACACAACACACTGGAGGAGCTGGTTCTGCAGGCTGTCACCGACCCTGGAGGTAACTAACCACAACCTAACCATAACCTAACCCCAACCATAGCCTAACCTAACACAACACAACACACTGGAGGAGATGGTCCTGCTGGCTGTCACCTATCCAGGAGGTAACTCACCACAACCTAACCCTAACCTAACCATAACCTAACCCCAACCATAACACAACACACTGGAGGAGATGGTCCTGCTGGCTGTCACCTACCCTTGAGGTTACTAACCGCAACCTAACACGACATAACCTAACCCCAACCATAGCCTAACCCTTACTCTAACCTGACGCCAGTAGCCTAGGGGTTAGCGAGGTGGACCAGCAACCGGAAGCTTCAAGCCCCGGGCCGGGCGACACCAAAAAATGGGAATGGAACTGAACTGGCAGCTGGATGGCTGCTGGTCTCTGATCCTAAGTACTGTTTCATGCCGTTGTGCCCTTGAGCAAGGCACTAAACCCCACACAATTGCTCTCCATCCAGTGATGCTACACTGCAGCTGACCCTGTGTGTTTGTGTGTGTGTGCGTGCGTGCATGTGCGTGTGTGTGTGTGTGCACGCGCGTGCGTGTGTGCGTGCGTGTGTGCGTGTATCTGGGGATGCTGGAAAAGGCAGAAGACACATTTAGTTTCCAACCAATGGAAAATAGTATCTATTCTACCCTAACCACAACCTAACCATACCTAATACAATACACTGGAGGAGCTGGTCCTGCTGGCTGTCACCTACTAACCACAATCTGACACACACAGGGATTCACTAGAGTTTCAATGATCTGTCTGTCTGTCTGCCTGCTTGTCTAAATCATATCACATCAAAGTTTATTGGTCACGTATACAGATTTGCAGATGTTATCACAAGTGCAGCGAAATACTTGTGTTTCTAGCTCCAACAGTGCAGTAATACTTAGCAATATAAAAAATTATATAAATACAAATAAAAACACAACACACAGAATCCAGAAAAATCCAGAGAAATTAAGAAATATCAGAACAAGCAATGTCAGAGACCAGAATATATATATATATATATATATATATATATATATACAGTGAGGGAAAAAATTGAACTGATTTTGTACGTTTGCCCACTGACAGAGAAATGATCAGTCTATAATTTTAATGGTAGGTTTATTTGAACAGCGAGAGACAGAATAACAACAAAAAAATCCAGAAAAACGAATGTCAAAAATGTTATAAATTGATTTGCATTTTAATGAGGCAAATAAGTATTTGACCCCCTCTCAATCAGAAAGATTTCTGACTCCCAGGTGTCTTTTATACAGGTAACGAGCTGAGATTAGTGTCACGGTTTCGGCCGAGGCTGCTCCTCCTCCTTGTTCGGGCAGGCTTCGGCGGTCGTCGTCCCCGGAGTACTAGCTGCCACCGTTCAATGTTTCATGTTTGTTTGGTTTTGTCTGTTTGTACACCTGTCCCTTGTTAGTGTTTGATTTGGTTGCCTATTTAGTTTTCGTGTGTGGGGGCAGGTGTTATGTGGTATTGTTTTTTGTCAAGCTGTTGCTCTTTTTGTATTACTCTCGTGTTTGTTGTTTTCCGAGAGTCCGCACTGTGTGCGCTATCTTCATTTTACGCACTGTGTGTGTTGTGCGTAATTTGTATTTTGCCTCCCGGTTGGGTTGGCTGTTCGCCTGTTTGGTGCTGCATTTTGTTAACTAAAGTCTGTTGACGAACGCCCGTGTTTCCTGCGCTTGATTTCCTCACCGCATCTACACTCAGCTACTGACAGAATACCACATCACATCATGGAGTCAGCAGGAGCACCCGCGCCGACAGAGGTCATGGAGGACCGTCTTCGTGGACAGGAGGACCGGATTAACCAGATCGGTCACGCCTTGGATCGGGTGATGAAACACTCTCCACCGATGGGAAAGCAGCGGGGTACCCACGCCCCCACCTACCGGACCATCCCCATCGGTCAGTCCTCCAGTCCACATTCCGGAACCCAGTGGGATTCGGCTCTCGCTCCCGAGGGCGTACGACGGCTCCGCTGCCGGGTGTCAAGGGTTCCTGCTACAGGTGGAGCTCTACCTCGCCACCGTACACCCGGCGCCCTCGGGACACGAGAGCGTCTCCGCCCTCATCTCCTGTCTCACCGGCAAGGCGTTGGAGTGGGCCAACGCCGAATGGAGGAGAATGAACGCCGCTACCATCACCTATGCTGAGTTCTCCCGCCGCTTCCGGGCCGTGTTCGACCATCCACCAGAAGGGAAGGCGGCGGGGGAGCGTCTGTTCTTCCTCCGACAGGGGATGAGGAGTGCACAGGATTTTGCCCTGGAGTTCCGGACTCTAGCGGCAGATGCAGGGTGGAATGAGCGGGCCCTCATAGACCACTTCCGTTGTAGCCTCCGGGAGGACGTCCAAAGAGAGTTGGCGTGCAGGGATACCATGTTGACGTTTGACCAACTAGTCGACATGGCCATTCGGTTGGACACCCTGCTCGCCACCCGTGGACGTCCCGGATGGGGGTCGCCCATTTCACCCTCCAGCACCTCCGAGCCGAGCCCTATGGAGCTCGGAGGTGCTGGCGCTAGAGAAAGGAGGAGTAGGAACCCGAGGGGGGCCGTCCCCTGCACCAACTGTGGCCGTGGAGGGCACACCGCGGCTAGGTGTTGGGGAAGGTCCCCCGGTGGAGGTGAAGGCAGGCCACGCATTGGGGAGTCCTCCCAGGTGAGTAGGCGCCCTACTTACCCAGAGCTTTCTGTCGTTCACATAACCTTGCCTGTTTGTTTTCCACAGGTAGCACCTCGTTCCCAGCATAAGGCGCTAGTCGATTCAGGCGCAGCTGGGAACTTTGTAGATCGCCAGTTCTGTGTAGAATTAGGGATTCCTCTCCTTCCCGTTGATAAGCCTTTCCCTGTACATGCCCTAGATAGCCGTCCGTTAGGATCTGGGTTGATTAGGGAGGTCACAGCGCCCCTTAAGATGGAGGCGCAGGGGGGTCATGAGGAGACGATTCAGCTCTATCTGATTGACTCTCCTGCGTATCCGGTGGTGCTGGGGCTTCCCTGGTTGATTACCCATGACCCTACTATTTCGTGGCGAGAGAAAGCTCTTAAAGGGTGGTCTGCTCAGTGTGAGGGGCTGTGTCTGGGTGTTTCCATAGGGGCGACCTCGGTGGAAAGTCCGAATCTAATGCCTGCACTGCATATTCCCCCCGAGTATGAGGATTTGACACTGGTGTTTAGTAAGACTAGGGCGGCGCAGCTGCCGCCTCATAGACGGGGGGGATTGTGCGATAGATCTCCAGTTAGGAGCAGCCCTCCCGCGGAGCCATGTGTATCCCTTGTCTCAAGAGGAGAGGAAGGCGATGGAAACTTACATCGCAGAGTCTCTGAGACAGGGATACATACGGGCCTCCACTTCACCCGCTTCCTCAAGCTTCTTTTTTGTGAAGAAAAAGGATGGAGGTCTGCGCCCGTGTATTGATTACCGCGGTCTCAATCAGATTACGGTGAAGTACAGCTATCCACTTCCTCTGATTGCGACTATGACGGAATCATTACACGGTGCTCAGTTCTTCACAAAATTGGATCTCAGGAGCGCATATAACTTGGTGCGCATTAGAGAGGGCGATGAATGGAAGACAGCGTTTAGCACGACCTCCGGTCATTACGAGTATCTCGTCATGCCATATGGGTTAATGAATGCTCCCTCAGTCTTCCAATCCTTCGTCGATGAGATTTTCCGGGACATGCAGGGGCAGGGAGTAGTCGTGTACATAGACGATATTCTGGTGTACAGTTCTACCAAAGCAGAGCATGTAGCCCTGGTGCGCCGAGTGTTGAGGAGGCTGTTGGAGCATGACCTATATGTCAAGGCAGAGAAATGTCTGTTCTTTCAGAAGTCGGTCTCCTTTTTGGGTTATCAGTTGTCTGCGTCAGGGGTGAAGATGGAGGTTGACCGGGTGTCAGCTGTGCGTAATTGGCAAACCCCAACCACTGTGAAAGAGGTGCAACAGTTCTTGGGTTTTGCGAATTACTACCGGAGGTTTATCCGGGGTTTTGGACAGGTGGCAGCTCCCATAACGTCTCTGTTGAAGGGGGGTCCAGTGCGCTTGCGGTGGTCAGCTGAGGCGGACAGGGCTTTTGGGAGACTGAAGGACCTGTTTACCTCGGCGCCGGTGTTGGCGCATCCGGATCCCGCTTTACCATTCCAGGTAGAGGTAGACGCGTCCGAGGCCGGTATTGGGGCCGTTCTCTCACAACGGTCTGGCACACCACCTAAGCTCCGCCCCTGTGCTTTTTATTCTAAGAAGCTCAGTCCGGCGGAGCGGAATTATGACGTAGGGGACAGGGAGCTGTTAGCCGTGGTACAGGCCCTAAAGGTGTGGAGGCATTGGCTTGAGGGGGCTCAACACCCTTTCCTCATTTTGACTGACCACCGTAACCTGGAATACATCCGGGCAGCTAGGAGACTGAATCCTCGCCAGGCCCGCTGGACTACGTTTCTAGCCCGGTTTGTGTTTAAAATCACTTACATCCCTGGGTCCCAGAACGGGAAGGCAGATGCCCTGTCTCGGCGGTATGACACAGAGGAGAGGTACGTTGAGCCCACTCCCATACTACCAAAGTCTTGTCTGGTTGCACCGGTGGTATGGGAGGTCGATGTAGAGATCGAGCGGCCGTTACGCACCGACCCAAGTCCTCCACAGTGTCCAGTGGGTCGGACGTACGTTCCGCTCGAGGTACGCGATCGCCTCATTTATTGGGCTCATACGTCCCCCTCCTCTGGACATCCAGGTATCGGCCGGACAGTTCACTGCCTTAGCACTAAGTACTGGTGGCCAACGTTAGCCAGGGATGTGAGGATTTATGTCTCCTCCTGTTCGGTGTGTGCCCAGTGTAAGGCGCCCAGACATTTGCCCAGGGGTAAGCTACAACCCCTGCCCGTTCCACAACGACCCTGGTCCCACCTCTCGGTGGATTTTGTTACAGACCTTCCCCCTCACAGGGGAATACTACCATCCTGGTCGTTGTGGATCGGTTCTCGAAGGCCTGTCGTCTCCTTCCCATGCCGGGTCTCCCTACTGCCCTACAGACCGCTGAGGCTCTGTTTACCCATGTCTTCCGGCATTACGGGGTACCCGAGGATATAGTGTCTGATCGAGGCCCCCAGTTCACCTCCAGAGTGTGGAGAGCGTTTATGGAACGGTTGGGGGTTTCGGTGAGCCTTACCTCGGGTTACCACCCGGAGAGTAATGGGCAGGTTGAACGTGTCAACCAGGATGTGGGCAGGTTTCTGAGGTCTTATTGCCAGGGCCGGCCGGAGGAGTGGGCGAGATACGTTCCGTGGGCCGAGATGGCACAGAACTCTCTCCGCCACTCCTCCACCCAACTAACCCCTTTCCAGTGTTTGTTAGGGTACCAGCCGGTTCTGGCACCTTGGCACGAGAGCCAGATCGAGGCCCCTGCGGTGGATGAGTGGGTGCGGCGCTCAGAGGAGACATGGAACGCTGCCCACGTTCATCTGCAGCGGGCCATCCGTCGGCATAAGACGAGCGCCGATCTCCACCGCAGTGAGGGGCCTGTGTACGCACCTGGAGATCGAGTCTGGCTCTCGACCAGAAACCTGCCCCTCCGCCTGCCCTGCCGGAAGCTGGGTCGGCGGTTTGTGGGACCATTCAAAGTCCTGAGGAGGTTGAACGAGGTGTGTTACAGGTTAGAACTGCCTATTGATTACAGGAATATTAACCCCTCGTTCCATGTGTCTCTCCTCAGGCCGGTGGTAGCTGGTCCACTCCAGGACTATGAGATAGAAGAGACATATTAGACCTGTCCCTGCTGACCGAGTTCCATCGGGGTCATCCTACGCGCCCTGCTCCGCGTCGTCCTGGTCGTCCCCGAGGCCGGGATCGGCGCACGGCTGGAGCCGCGCGTCAAGGGGGGGGGGGGTACTGTCACGGTTTCGGCCGAGGCTGCTCCTCCTCCTTGTTCGGGCAGGCTTCGGCGGTCGTCGTCCCCGGAGTACTAGCTGCCACCGTTCGATGTTTCATGTTTGTTTGGTTTTGTCTGTTTGTACACCTGTCCCTTGTTAGTGTTTGATTTGGTTGCCTATTTAGTTTCCGTGTGTGGGGGCAGGTGTTATGTGGTATTGTTTTTTGTCAAGCTGTTGCTCTTTTTGTATTACTCTCGTGTTTGTTGTTTTCCGAGAGTCCGCACTGTGTGCACTATCTTCATTTTACGCACTGTGTGTGTTGTGCGTAATTTGTATTTTGCCTCCCGGTTGGGTTGGCTGTTCGCCTGTTTGGTGCTGCATTTTGTTAACTAAAGTCTGTTGACGAACGCCCGTGTTTCCTGCGCTTGATTTCCTCACCGCATCTACACTCAGCTACTGACAATTAGGAGCACACTCTTAAAGGGAAATCTCCTAATCTCAGTTTGTTACCTGTATAAAAGACACCTGTCCAGAGAAGCAATGAATCAATCAGATTCCAAACTCTCCACCATGGCCAAGACCAAAGAGCTCTCCAAGGATGTCAGGGACAAGATTGTAGACCTACACAAGGCTGGAATGGGCTACAAGACCATCGCCAAGCAGCTTGGTGAGAAGGTGACAACAGTTGGTGCGATTATTCGCAAATGGAAGAACCACAAAAGAACTGTCAATCTCCCTCGGCCTGGGGCTCCATGCAACATCTCACCTCGTGGAGTTGCAATGATCATGAGAACGGTGAGGAATCAGCCCAGAACTACATGGGAGGATCTTGTCAATGATTTCAAGGCCTCTGTAGCTCAGCTGGTAGAGCACGGCGCTTGTAACGCCAAGGTAGTGGGTTCGATCCCCGGGACCACCCATACACAAAAATGTATGCACGCATGACTGTAAGTCGCTTTGGATAAAAGCGTCTGCTAAATGGCATATTATTATTATTATTATTAAGGCAGCTGGGACCATAGTCACCAAGAAAACAATTGGTAACACACTACGCCGTGAAAGACAGAAATCCTGCAGCGCCCGCAAGGTCCCCCTGCTCAAGAAAGCACATATACAGGCCCGTCTGAAGTTTGCCAATGAACATCTGAATGATTCAGAGGAGAACTGGGTGAAAGTGGTGGTCAGATGAGACCAAAATCGAGCTCTTTGGCATCAACTCAACTTGCCGTGTTTGGAGGAGGAGGAATTCTGCCTATGACCCCAAGAACACCATCCCCACCGTCAAACATGGAGGTGGAAACATTATGCTTTGGGGGTGTTTTTCTGCTAAGGGGACAGGACAACTTCACCGCATCAAAAGGGACGATGGACGGGGCCATGTACCGTCAAATCTTGGGTGAGAACCTCCTTCCCTCAGCCAGGGCATTGAAAATGGGTCGTGGATGGGTATTCCAGCATGACAATGACCCAAAACACACGGCCAAGGCAACAAAGGAGTGGCTCAAGAAGAAGCACATTAAGGTCCTGGAGTGTCCTAGCCAGTCTCCAGACCTTAATCCCATAGAAAATCTGTGGAGGGAGCTGAATGTTCGAGTTGCCAAACGTCAGCCTCGAAACCTTAATGACTTGGAGAAGTTCTGCAAAGAGGAGTGGGACAAAATCCCTCCTGAGATGTGTGCAAACCTGGTGGCCAACTACAAAAAAACGTCTGACCTCTGTGATTGCCTACAAGGGTTTTGCCACCAAGTACTAAGTCATGTTTTGCAGAGGGGTCAAATACTTATTTCCCTCATTAAAATGCAAATCAATTAATAACATTTTTGACATGCGTTTTTCTGGATTTTGTTGTTGTTATTCTGTCTCTCACTGTTCAAATAAACCTACCATTAAAATTATAGACTGATCATGTCTTTGTCAGTGGTTAAACGTACAAAATTAGCAGGGGATCAAATACTTTTTTCCCTCACTGTATATATATATGTATATTATGTCCATATAATGGTGTGTAAAGACAGTATGGACAGTATATGAATAGAAAAGGTGTGTACAGCATTAGTTATATAGGATGAGCCTTGACAAGAATACAGTATATACATATAAAGTCTGTCCACCTGTCTGCCTGTCTTTGACTCTGTGTAGATGCAGTATTCTGGGACAGTATCTCCTTCTATAGCCAATATACACATCCAGATACTCTGAAAGCACATGACTGTAAAAACAATGATTAATATACACATCCAGATACTCTGAAAGCACAAGACTGTAAAAACAATGATTAATATACACATCCAGATACTCTGAAAGCACGACTGTAAAAACAATGATTAAACCATGCCGTCATCTACTGACCTTAACGCCCAGTGACACAACATTATATATTCTGTTAAATGAATGAGTGAAATTCTGTAGACTTGGAAAGCGAGCAGGAATGAACAAAGGCCTGCGGTCCCGACATGTAGTCCTTTTCTGTTATCAGCCGCTGTGGCTACATTGACTGACTCCTGCAGAGCAGAACCAACCCTACACTGACTGACTCTCCTGCAGAGCAGAACCAACCCTACACTGACTGACTCCTGCAGAGCAGAACCAACCCTACACTGACTGACTCCTGCAGAGAAGAAACAACCCTACACTGACTGACTCTCCTGCAGAGCAGAACCAACCCTACACTGACTGACTCCTGCAGAGCAGAACCAACACCACACTGACTGACTCCTGCAGAACAGAACCAACCCTACACTGACTGACTCCTGCAGAACAGACCCAACCCTACACTGACTGACCCGTGCAGAACAGAACGGACACTTATCTACACCAGATAGCAGGTGACACGCTGGCTGACATATTTATAATGGCTGTGCTGTGCTGTGTGTGTGTGTGTGTGTCTGTGTGTGTGTGATGCTTCCTCTCTCCAGAGAAACTCCTCCTGAAGCCTCAAGACAGGCTCTACTCTGATTCGCTGACAGCGGTGGGGAGGCTGCACGTGCGCAGAAAGGACCTGAGTGAAGTCATGGTAGGAATCACAATGAGTCCACTTCAATGAAGTTCCTCAGCAGGCTACAAAGTGAATGAATCTAGCAGATTTGACAGTACTCAGGCCTCCTATCAAACAACTTATTATTTGGTTTATCACATTCTATTCCTGATACCTATTGGACCTGCTTCCAGCCTATAACCCACAGGGTAATAACATCAGAAAATAATGTTATTACATGTCCCAACAGAACATATAACACATTCATTTCTCCTCTCAGAACCCGTTCACAGACAACACAGAGCTACAACAGAGGTCAGCTCGCATGCTGAGTACGAACACATGGGACGTGGCTGTCACCCTTACAAACTTTGACTGGAGCATCTTCAACTCAATACATGAGGTCCGTGACATCATCTTTTGTCCATCACCTACACTATGCATGCGTCCCAATTGGCACCCTATTCACTATACTGCACTTTTTTTTGACCAGGGCCCATAGAGCTCTGGTCCAAAGTACTGCACTATAAAGGGAATATGGTGCCATTTGGGACACAGTTAAAGATCTTAGTGATTCAAAGCTTTCTACAAGCTCAACCCTGTCCTGTCCGGTCCGGTCCGGTCTCTCTCCCGTACAGCAAGAGCTTGTGTACTTCACGTTCAGCCGTCATGCCAGCGGTGGCCACACGGTGGCGCTGGAGCTTCTGCTGCAGCGCTGCAACGAGGTACAGCTGTGGGTGATGACAGAAGTCCTGATGTGTCCTACGCTCTGCAAGAGAGTCCAGCTCATCAAGAAGTTCATCAAGATCGCTGCCCAGTGAGCAACTCTCCTCTTCCCTCTCCTCTTCTCTGACCACAACATAGTAGGATCCAGCATTCAGAGCAGAGTTGTTAGATCCTCAAAATGTACTGATGTCCTCTTCTACAGCAGTATGACTGGTCCATTTCACTAAGAGCCCAATACTTCAACTACAGCAATCTACAATCCTATTATAGCTGGTCTAACGTATTCAATAGTGAGGTTTGCATGGACAGGATGCCCCCTCCTGTGGTTTAGTGAGGAATTACAGATAGTATTCCTGTCTCACCACTGTATGAAGCTGGTGTTAACAGTGTGTCTGTCTTTATTTCCTCAGCTGTAAAGCCCAGAGGAACCTCAACTCTTTCTTTGCCATCGTTATGGGTCTGAACACCGCAGCAGTTAGCCGCCTCAGTCAGACCTGGGAGGTCAGTGTGTATCTGCTTCTGTACGTGACTGTTTATGATGGGATGTCTTTTAAGCTTTTCAAAGAAACTGGTCTTGATTGTCAAAATAGGAGAGAGTTGTGTAACTTTCTTTTGTTGCTTTGGGGAGGGTTGAGTGTTTATTGGGCACAGGGGAGGGTAGTGTTTTTATTGGACACAGTGGAGGGTAGTGTTTTTATTGGGCACTGTGGAGTGTAGTGTTTTTATTGGGCACAGGGGAGGGTAGTGTTTTTATTGGGCACAGGGGAGGGTAGTGTGTTTTTATTGGGCACAGGGGAGGGTAGTGTTTTTATTGGTCACAGTGGAGGGTAGTGTTTTTATTGGGCACAGTGGAGGATAGTGTTTTTATTGGGCACAGTGGAGGGTAGTGTTTTTATTGGTCACAGTGGAGGATAGTGTTTTTATTGGACACAGTGGAGGGTAGTGTTTTTATTGGGCACAGGGGAGGGTAGTGTGTTTTTATTGGGCACAGGGGAAGGTAGTGTTTTTATTGGTCACAGTGGAGGATAGTGTTTTTATTGGGCACAGTGGAGGGTAGTGTTTTTATTGGGCTCAGTGGAGGATAGTGTTTTTATTGGACACAGTGGAGGGTAGTGTTTTTATTGGGCACAGGGGAGCATAGTGTTTTTATTTGGCACAGGGGAGGGTAGTGTTTTATTGGGCACCGGGGAGGATAGTGTTTTTATTGGGCACAGGGGAGGATAGTGTTTTTATTGGACACAGTGGAGGGTAGTGTTTTTATTGGGCACAGGGGAGGATAGTGTTTTTATTGGGCACAGGGGATGATAGTGTTTTTATTGGGCACAGGGGAGGGTAGTGCATTTTTCTCTGGTTTACTATATAATGTCTTCCATATAGCCACATTTCCTCATCTGCTTGCATGCACCTCCCCTATCAAGGTGTTTTGGTACTTCCCTTCTGCACTATGCTTTTCCACATGCTTTCTATACCACAGGTCAATATAGTCTACCAGTCTAACTGCCCTCTATCCATAGTGACTACAGTAGTAGGTGGATCATATATAGTCTACCAGTCTAACTGCCCTCTATCCAGTGACTACAGTAGTAGGTGGATACTTTGTCCAGATCTGCAATAGGTTAACTAGCAATCATACCACATATAAAATCATTCAAATCTGCACCAATGTTCAATATAAATCCCCAGGATAGAGGAATAGCTGATAGGCAGCAGACAGGCCAGGTGCATCATTGCGCATGAAAGAAGAGTGAAGACATGCAGCTCAAAAAGCTCCCCTATTGGTCTTGTTTAGGGACAATACAATGATCCTACCTGAACTAGCCTACAACACCACAATGCAATGAATAATTCCATTATTGTTATCAAGTGAGTACAATTCTACTCTAGGCTGTAGACTGTAGTGAAAATGTCATTTGAAAATGGCGTAAAAGCCGTGTTATTTGAATGTTTCATTCCATGGATCAGTTGTGGGTCTACTCTCTACAGATTCTAGAAAGGCACAGTAGCAGGTCAGTCTGGCTGTATTTTTACATCTGATGCACTGTCTGTTGCCGATCGTCATTCTCCCAAGTCTTCTCCACGTAGGCCTGTGCTCCCAGCAGGCCCAGTTATTCAGGAAAGCTTAACACACGTTCTGCCTCCTTTCCCATCTGAGCGGCTATTCTTCGACCTAGAACCTAAACGCCTAAATATAGTCACAATGTTTTAATCTGATAAGGCTACTTCAAAAGTCTCCTGTAGGCTACTTGCTCACGTTCATCCACTCCACTCTAATATACACAGTGTACAAAACATTAGGAACACCTCCCTAATATTGAGTTGCACCCCCTTTTGCCCTTAGAACAGCCTCAATTCGTCGGGGCATTGACTCTGCAAGGTGTCGAAAGCGTTCCACAGGGATACTGCCCCATGTTGACTCCAATGCTTCCCACAGTTGTGTCAAGTTGGCTGGATGTCCTTTGGGTGGTGGACCGTTCTTGATACACACAGGAAACTGTTGAGCGTGAAAAACCCAGCAGCATTGCAGTTCTTGACACACAAACCGGTGTGCCTGGCACCTACTACCATACCCCATTCAAAGGCACTTCAATCTTTTGTCTTGCCCATTCACCCTCTGAATGGCACACATACACAATCCATCTCTCATTTGTCTTAAGGCTTAAATATCCTTCTTTAACCTGTCTACTCCCCTTCATCTACACTGATTGAAGTAGATTTAACAAGTGACATCAATAAGGGATCATAGCTTTCACCTGGATTCACCTGGTCAGACTATGTCATGGAAAGAGCAGGTGTTCCTAATGTTTTGTACACTCAATTCCAGCATCTTAACTGCGCAACGACCATTTGATTAATGGAAAGAGACATCTGTTACAAAACACCAAAAAGTTTAATGACGTTCGGAGATTGTCACACTAAGCCTTCGATACTGAGTAGGGAGGGATGTATTTCCTGTTTTTGGAGATCGACATACTCTACTTGATTGTGATGTTAAAAACGCAAACCATGATGATAAGCGCTCTAAGTCAGTAATCGGTATACGTTGCTTAATGGTTGTGTGTGGTGCATCGGCATAGAAACCTGTTGGTGGAAAACACAGGAAGTTGGTGTGGCACCTTAATTGGGGAGGACGGGCTTGTGGTAATGGCTGGAGCGGAATAAGTGGAATGGTATCAAATACAACAAAACATGATTTCCATGTGTTTGATGACATTCCATTTGTTCAGTTCCGGCTATTAATATGAGCCGTCCTCTCCTCAGCATCCTCCCCTGGTGGGAAATTAATTGCAAATATTGCATATAATTATAAATATAGCATCAAACTGTTGAAAATCTGATTTCCCCTTAGCTGATCATTGTCTACAGCCGGGTCTGATCGTAGTGTAATGAGACAACCAGGGAGAGTGAGCTCGTACGTGGTGGTCGACCTTCTGGCCGGTAGCCCTGTGCGGCATCGACTGTGCCACAAAACCATGCTGAAGTGGCAAAGTCAATATCCACGTTTACAAACACAGGGTTACTACAGTTATTGTTATTTATGGTGGTAATAATACAGGGGAGGGTCTGAGTAGACCCAGTACATTTCGAACTGTCCCCAACTCAACCTGTTTTTCTTTCCATCAGAAAGTTCCAGGAAAATTCAAAAAACTGTTTTCGGAGCTGGAGATGTTGACAGTAAGTTCATTTTTCTCAGATTGTATAGAGATCCTGTAATAATGAACGTGACTCTACATGGAATTCTGTGTTGCACGTCTAGTATTAAGAACATGTTGGGTCATCTGGCCATTAAACAGGCTACACGTTTTCAACGTTGAGTTAATAGAAGCAGCAGGCTTGATAATTATCACTAGGTCTGGTCTCTGGGGACACAGTAACATATGGTAGGGGTTGTGAGGGCTCCTTCAGTGCACATGTTTGAGTCCCAAATGGCACCCTATGACTTACATAGTGCACTACAGTGAGGGAAAAAAGTATTTGATCCCCTGCTGATTTTGTACGTTTGCCCACTGACAAAGACATGATCAGTCTATAATTTTAATGGTAGGTTTATTTGAACAGTGAGAGACAGAATAACAACAACAAAATCCAGGATAATGCATGTCAAAAATGTTATAAATTGATTTGCATTTTAATGAGGGAAATAAGTATTTGACCCCCTCTCAATCAGAAAGATTTCTGGCTCCCAGGTGTCTTTTATACAGGTAATGAGCTGAGATTAGGAGCACACTCTTAAAGGGAGTGCTCCTAATCTCAGCTTGTTACCTCTATAAAAGACACCTGTCCACAGAAGCAATCAATCAATCAGATTCCAAACTCTCCACCATGGCCAAGACCAAAGAGCTCTCCAAGGATGTCAGGGACAAGATTGTAGACCTACACAAGGCTGGAATGGGCTACAAGACCATCGCCAAGCAGCTTGGTGAGAAGGTGACAACCGTTGGTGCGATTATTTGCAAATGGAAGAAACACAAAATAACTGTCAATCTCCCTCGGCCTGGGGCTCCATGCAAGATCTCACCTCGTGGAGTTGCAATGATCATGAGAACGGTGAGGAATCAGCCCAGAACTACACGGGAGGATCTTGTCAATGATCTCAAGGCAGCTGGGACCATAGTCACCAAGAAAACAATTGGTAACACACTACGCCGTGAAGGACTAAAATCCTGCAGCGCCCGCAAGGTCCCCCTGCTCAAGAAAGCACATATACAGGGCCGTCTGAAGTTTGCCAATGAACATCTGAATGATTCAGAGGAGAACTGGGTGAAAGTGTTGTGGTCAGATGAGACCAAAATCGAGCTCTTTGGCATCAACTCAACTCGCCGTGTTTGGAGGAGGAGGAATGCTGCCTATGACCCCAAGAACACCATCCCCACCGTCAAACATAGAGGTGGAAACATTATGCTTTGGGGGTGTTTTTCTGCTAAGGGGACAGGACAACTTCACCGCATCAAAGGGACGATGGACGGGGCCATGTACCGTCAAATCTTGGGTGAGAACATTCCCTCAGCCAGGGCATTGAAAATGGGTCGTGGATGGGTATTCCAGCATGACAATGACTCAAAACACACGGCCAAGGCAACAAAGGAGTGGCTCAAGAAGAAGCACATTAAGGACCTGGAGTGGCCTAGCCAGTCTCCAGACCTTAATCCCATAGAAAATATGTGGAGGGAGCTGAAGGTTCGAGTTGCCAAACGTCAGCCTCGAAACCTTAATGACTTGGAGAAGATCTGCAAAGAGGAGTGGGACAAAATCCCTCCTGAGATGTGTGCAAACCTGGTGGCCAACTACAAGAAACGTCTGACCTCTGTGATTGCCAACAAGGGTTTTGCCACCAAGTACTAAGTCATGTTTTGCAGAGGGGTCAAATACTTATTTCCCTCATTAAAATGCAAATCAATTTATAACATTTTTGACATGCGTTTTTATGGATTTTTTTGTTGCTATTCTGTCTCTCACTGTTCAAATAAACCTACCATTAAAATTATAGACTGATCATGTCTTTGTCAGTGGGCAAACGTACAAAATCAGCACGGGGATCAAATACTTTTTTCCCTCACTGTACATTTGACCAGAGCCCTATGGACCCCCTATGGGCCCTAGTCATAAGTATATGTTGCCATTTGGAACGCAGCAGAACACGTTTCTCGCCAAAGACAAGCGTCACACATCACATCTGTCTGTACATGTCTTCACAGGACCCCTCTCTCAACCACAAAGCCTACAGGGACGCTTTCAAGAAGATGAAGACGCCCAAGATCCCTTTCCTTCTTCTGTTACTGAAAGGTGCCTAGACTCAGAGAACACTGCATGTTACTGTCATCACTGCCCCCTGAACCCTGCAGTGGTCTGAAATGTTACTGTCATCACTGCCCTCTGAATCCTGCAGTGGTCTGAAATGTTACTGTCATCACTGCCTCCTGATCCCTGCAGTGGTCTGAAATGTTACTGTCATCACTGCCTCCTGATCCCTGCAGTGGTCTGAAATGTTACTGTCATCACTGCCTCCTGATCCCTGCAGTGGTCTGAAATGTTACTGTCATCACTGCCTCCTGATCCCTACAGTGGTCTGAAATGTTATTGTCATCACTGCCCCCTGAACCCTGCAGTGGTCTGAAATGTTACTGTCATCACTGCCTCCTGATCCCTGCAGTGGTCTGAAATGTTACTGTCATCACTGCCCCTGAACCCTGCAGTGGTCTGAAATGTTACTGTCATCACTGCCCCCTGAACCCTGCAGTGGTCTGAAATGTTACTGTCATCACTGCCCCCTGAACCCTGCAGTGGTCTGAAATGTTACTGTCATCACTGCCTCCTGAACCCTGCAGTGGTCTGAAATGTTACTGTCATCACTGCCTCCTGAACCCTGCAGTGGTCTGAAATGCCAACAGGAATATTGTGAACTAAATTTAAAATCAGGATCGACGCACTAGCGCTCAGTTTTTTAACGCTGGTACATTACTCCCTTTCTCTTAGACATCACGTTCATTCACGAGGGCAACAAAACGTTTCTCGATAACCTGGTCAATTTTGAAAAGCTGGTAAGTCGCTCCATTATGATGGAGGGGGTTGAACATGTCAATGTACCTCGTGTTTCCTCAACTCCTCAACTATAGACAATCTATAACGCAGAAAACATGTCATCTAAAATATGTGATTGATGTGTATTTGATGTGTATGATGATGTCCATCTCCTCTTGCAGCACATGATAGCCGACACTGTGCGTCTCATCAGACACTGTCAGGAGGATCACATGGGTGGGTGAAGAGTGTGTGTGTGTTTGTGTGCATGTACGTGTGTGCGTGTGTGTGTGCGTGTGTACGTGTATGTGTGTACTTGTGTGTCTTACTCTCACACGGTCTTAGATCAATGACCATCAACTTTGATGAGCCTTGAACCTCCATGCTCAAGTCATTACTTACATCCAGTAAACAGGTCACAGTGTTGACTTTCTACAGTCAGCCACTATAACACAGTAAACATGTCACAGTGTTGACTTTCTACAGTCATCCACTATAACACAGTAATCATGTCACAGTGTTGACTTTCTACAGTCAGCCACTATAACACAGTAAACATGTCACAGTGTTGACTTTCTACAGTCATCCACTATAACACAGTAATCATGTCACAGTGTTGACTTTCTACAGTCAGCCACTATAACACAGTAAAACATGTCACAGTGTTTGACTTCTACAGTCAGCCACTATAGCACAGTAAACATGTCCACAGTGTACTTTCTACAGTCAGCCACTATAACACAGTAAACATGTCACCGTGTTTACTTTCTACAGTCATCCACTATAACAGTAAACATGTCCCAGTGTGACTTTTACAGTCATCCACTATAACCCAGTAAACATGTCACAGTGTTGACTTTCTACAGTCATCCACTATAACACAGTAATCATGTCACAGTGTTGACTTTCTACAGTCATCCACTATAACACAGTAATCATGTCACAGTGTTGACTTTCTACAGTCAGCCACTATAACAGTAAACATGTAAAAGTGTTGACTTTCTACAGTCATCCACTATAAACACAGTAATCTGTCACAGTGTGACTTTCTACAGTCATCCACTATAACACAGTAATCATGTCACAGTGTTGACTTTCTACAGTCAGCCACTATAACAGTAAACATGTAAAAGTGTTGACTTTCTACAGTCATCCCCTATAACGCAGTAAACATGTCACAGTGTTGACTTTCTACAGTCATTGTCCATTCAAAATGACTCAACTACAGCAGTCAACAGAATAACAGTATCCAATTAGATCATCAGTTCATCAATAACAACATGATGTGTTACTATAGTAAATTGATAGACTCATTGATGCTGAGAACCCCATACAGTACACAACCACTTACAGTAATGAAGACAGTGCACCAACGACTATCTCCTGTCATGGATAATGCTCAGCCAGCATGTGTGTGTGTTTAAGTGTGTGAGTGTGAGCGTGCGTGTGTGCATGCGTGAGTGTGTAAGTGTAAATGTGTGTATTTACTGTGTGGTTTACCTCCTAGGGAACGGGATGCCCCAGAAGATCAGTCCGGAGCTGCGGGCCTATGTCGACTACCTTCACGTCATTGACAATCAGCAGACTCTGTTTGAACTTTCCCACAGACTGGAGCCCCGTGTGTAGATAGACCACACATACACTCTCTGAGGCTGCCTCCCTCCCTCCCTCCACCCCTCAAAGTCAGACAACCAGGAGCAGGGTACCAACCAGTCTCTGGAAACATCCCTCAGCACTCGGTTATCAACCTAGAGAAACATGGGTTAGCCAACTCTATTAGAGTGCTACAAAGTGTGGAGGCTTTTGTTCCAGCCCAGCTCTAACAGACACACACACACACAGACACACACAGGGTTCTACTAATCAGCTGCACACACAGCAGGACTTTGATGAGTTTAATTAAGTGGGTTAATGCAGGGCTGGAACAAAAGCCTGCATGCCCTGAAGCTCCCCGGGAGTAGGGTTGGCCAGAGCCGACAGAGAGATGACCGTGTGACGCTGGCCAACCACAAGATGGCGCCAAAAGGCATACTGGAATACTGAGCAACGATGGAGCAGAGATAACCAAAGAGCTTCTCAGTTGAACAAATAGATCTGGATCCGTATTGATCAAAGGATCCCAGAATAGGAGTGCTGATCTAGGATCAGTTTAGCCTTTTAGATCATAATGAATGGACAGGGGGGACCTAGATCAGCACTCCTATTCAGTATGTCGTGGTGGATAAATAGCTGGATAAACTCGGATCGCTGGTTGCAGTGAAAAAAGTAAGGCTTCCTATTCTTTCAGTGCATTTTTCTGCAAAAGGTGGGTACATTGTTGGGGCCCTTCCTCCACTACACCAATGCTCCTACTCTGAGACGCTTTATGAATGTGGACCCTGCTTCAGTAATTGTGTATTGATAGCTTCAGGTTGTTGTTATCTGCTTCCAAACAGGTGACCACACCTTGATTATCTATCTACACAAAACCAATTAAAGCATCAACCTTCTGGGGACTTTCAAAATAGGACACTTTCAAACCAGGACACTTTTAAACCAGGACACTTTCAAACCAGGACACTTTCAAACCACGACACTTACCCCGGGCGGCAGGTAGCTTAGTGGTTAAGAGCGTTGTGCCAGTAACCGAAAGGTCGCTGGTTCTTATCCCCGAGCAAACTAGGTGAAAAATCTGTCGATGTGCCCTTGAGCAAGGCACTTAACCCTAATTGCTCCTGTAAGTCGCTCTGGATAAGAGCGTCTGCTAAATGAGAAAATTTTAAAAAAATAAACCAGGACACTACACTTGCCAGACCTCCAGTACATGACCACCACACACTAGACTGCTGTTAAGCTAAATTGATTTAAACAACAATATTGAAAAGGGTGTGTGTGTGTGTGATTATTGCATAAATGTCACTTCCAAATAGGCTCAAGGACTGAAATTATGTTTTTTTAAGATTCATTTTCTGAGTAAAGTGAGAAAGGTAATAAACCATCCTCAACAGTAGAAGGGTTATGTTACAGTTATAGATAATGTAATAAACCATCCTCAACAGTAGAAGGGTTTTGTTACAGTTATAGATAATGTTATGAACCATCTCAACGGTACAATGGTTAGGTTACAGTTATAGATAATGTAATAAACCATTGTCAACGGTAGAAGGGTTATGTTACAGTTCTAGATAATGTAATAAACCACCCTCAACAGTAGAAGGGTTATGTTACAGTTATAGATAATGTAATAAACCATCCTCAACAGTAGAAGGGTTATGTTATAGTTATAAATAATGTAATAAACCATCCTCAACGGTAGAAGGGTTATGTTACAGTTCTAGATAATGTAATAAACCATCCTCAACAGTAGAAGGGTTATGTTACAGTTATAATGTAATAAACCATCCTCAACGGTAGAAGGGTTATTTTACAGTTATAGATAATGTAATAAACCATCCTCAACAGTAGAAGGGTTATGTTACAGTTATAGATAATCTAATAAACCATCCAACGGTAGAAGGGTTATGTTACAGTTATAGATAATGTAATAAAACCATCCTCAACAGTAGTAGAAGGGTTATGCTACAGTTATGGACTTAGCGGTGGACTTAGATGTTTGGTCTTAGCTGTGGACAATCAGAGACGTAGCTTGAGGCATCAGATCCTTACATTACCTGTCATGTCTCTGTATCTGGCACTATAAAGAAACAGCAATACATCAAGTCAACACTTTTGCCTTTGAACATTCTAGTCCAGTTGAAAATGCCTTTGCCTATTTCTTTCAGTGGCAGTATTAGTTCAGCTTGTAGAAATGGCTTTTAACAATAAACTGTACACGTATCCACCCTCAGGATGTTGTATCCTATTCTAGGGAATCCTCTTTGTGAATGTTTCACTGGTTTTGAAAATAGATTAGACCATGATATAGAGATTCTTCAGTACCACCATCAGTTCTCCTGTTGTGGATTCCCCTGATATGTAACGTGTGTATCATAGAGATAGAACAGATCTATATCTATGGTGTGTATAGTGTTTTGAGGCAGGTCATGTACTATAGATTCCATGTATATACTGTAGTATGTTGTGCATTCGCTGGTTGGACATGGAGATGGATAATTATTTATTATTATATTTATTACTTGTATAGTTGCTGCTCTTTGGCTGAATATAATTCCCTTCCATGTCGTGTCTGCGCCCCAAATGGCCTCCTATTCCCTATTGTGCATTACTTTTGACCAGGTCCCATAGGGCTCTTGTCAAAAGTAGTGCACTATGTAGGGAATAGGGTGCCATTTGGGACGCACACCAAGTGTTTAGTACCTGCCATGGTTCCAATGGGTTAGGAGCTGGTCTGCATGATGTGGCAAAGCCATGGATTGACCACCAAGTAAAATATGCATGTAACAATAAGAATTTCCTTGTAAACTACTTTTATTCTACATGTCGCTACAATGCCCAAATTAGCCTATACTAAGAAATATTATTTCCAAAAGGGCAACAAAGCAATACAAAGTCAATTATCTTCTCTCGCATCACTGTTTTCTTTATGCATTTCATTTTTTACAATCATTTTGAAATTTTAAATAATAAATCAAATGTTTTGTTTTATGAATACAGTGTGTTGAGTTTCTTTGGAAATAAGTGCGAATACATGTTAAAGGGAGACTCAGCGAAATGACGTTGCCACGAGCAGCATCACAAATATTGAGATGAGCGAGATGCACGACTTCATACACACAGTGTCTGCGCATGTGCGCGGGTTCGCTTCACGCTGTGTACAGAGAAGCAGAGCCTAGCACTTCAACGCTTTTAATAATTACGGAAATTTACCCACTATGCTGTTTACTTTCTGCATCTCGCTGAGTCTGCCTTTAAATGGAATCAGACCAATACAGTTAGAGTAGGTACATCAGTCTACCACTGCTTCCTAGTGGCACAACTTTGAGCGCTCATATCCTGAAACTACTATCACATGGTCAAGCGATAAACATTTCAATTCATGAACACAGATGTTGACGTTAACACTTTCTTAACTCATATT